TTTCTAACTTTCCTGGGCAAAAAATTATGGAATTTTTCATTTTTCAAGAAAAATCATATTTTCCAAGATTAGTTAGTTTTTCCCACAACGGTATTTTATCTCACAAAGAAAGGAAAAATTCCATAACTTTTTGCCCAGGAAAGTTAGAAAACTGAAACTTTCTGTGATATTAGTAGAGACTATGAATAAAATTACAGAAAAAACTTTCAGCCCTTAATTCGCTATATTTGAGGAGTCATAATATTTTCAGTGTAGCTGTGGCACCTAGAGCATGTGAACAGAAAAAGATTCATAACTTTTGAAAGAAGAGTCATACGCACAAATCCTCTAGACTTTTTACTAGAACACTATCCTCTATCAATTGACATATATATCATTAAAAATGGAGGGCGACATGTGGAAACGTTCTCTCGTAGGAGTGCTGTGGAGCATGTAAAACACACAATGATTGAAACTTCGCTTATATTGTGTATGATATGTACCGTGGATATCTAAGGTACTGTGAAAGTCTTGAAATGAAGATATAACAACTGTACACACTAATTTAACATGATACATAAGCACATTATAGTTTGTGTCGACAATGCTCGGTTAGACATTAATATTAAAGTAAAAGAACAGATTGATCTAGATAAATGTATACTCTCCTACTATAAATCTTAGGGATTTGCTTGTAAATCTGAATATTATAAAAAAAAATGCTCAAAAGATGCAACTTCTTAGATATCTCAACTATTTCTCATACTATAAACTTGCTTCTTTCTTCATGCAATCCGGAAGAATGTATTGCACAATACGACCAAAAACAACATTTATTTCACTTGCTGTTAGTTTAAAATAGGAATTAGATTAATTAAAACGTGGCATGAATTACCTAGAATTTTAGTTTATCAAAAAAAGTATGTATTTTAGCAGTTAAATGGCAGGTTTTGTATATGTGTGAACTATTTCTAAGATATGAACCGGTCTATCAAAATAATCAGAGAAACTATAATCGAAAAAAAATTACTTTTGATCCAGACTGGAACTGATTCAGAAACTTTCAGTTCGCAAAGGGGCAGATTTTGATAAGACTTTTGCTAAAAAGTATTCGGTAATCTTCGTCTTTTCGACGCAAGTTTCTCATCAATATATCACTTTTATAGTTCAGTTGCAGGAACATGCTAAGTTAGCATATTCCTGCAACTGAACTGTATAAGTGATATATTTCCATTACTGACGAGATGATCATAAAGTGAGCATTGCTAACTCTACGAACTTCTCGTCAGTGATGGAAATGCCGTTTCTATTGGATGAGAGTTAACAACTTTTTCAGGAGCAGAATGCCAGTTAGTTCTGTCCATGCCTTGAGTAAAAACTTTAGCGAATCTTTCCATCAAGTGAAAATGAATTCTCTGATTATTTACAGATAAATTTTGCAAACATTTTCTGTAGGTTATAGCAGCACATAGATAAGATCAGTAAACAAGTTCTTAATCTGAACTTATTCTTTGCTATCCGAACAGGTTTAAATTTTCTGTAAATCTCAACTCTAGATTACTATGAAAAATTTAAATTACGAGAAAATGAAAGCGTCTCTTCGCCTTGAAGACTGTTCATGAAATAAAATTTTGTAGACAAGTTCTGTTTTTGAGTTGCAAAACTTAAAACTGTTTTGCTTCTTGTATGATTTTAATTCGGAAAATGGGAATCATTAGTCTCTATTTAGTCTAATTTTAGTTTTTCTTTCATATCAATTTTCTCATTCAAGAATTTGTCTTCTTCAATAATCTAATATGCACATGTTATACACATAGAATAGAGATACAGTTCGTTGCTAATAAATAATGTTCTGTAATTGAATGTTATTTTAGATGAAAACTCAAGTAACATACTTCTCCCGCTAGGAAGATAAGAAAAACAAGTGTATGTACTAAACTAATTTTTTAACAGTCTCAATTAATTTTTTACACGCATCGATTCGCACATGATTCGATGGTATATCAGGATAATAGTTGAGTGCTTTTTCTAAATTCGTTAATGCAAATGACCATTCTTTCAAATCCATATAAACATATCCAATATTATGATAACATCTGCCAATATTTTTACGATTCGGTGTTGAAGCTTTTAAACAGACTTGCAATGCATTTTGATAATATTTCAAAGATGTTTGAAAATCTCCTTTTTGTTTATATGTTAGACCAATATTTCCATATGATTTAACGATATCATTATGATTTGATGGTAATGATTTCAGACGTATTTGCAGCGCCTTCTCTTGATTTATAAGTGCTTGTTTATAGTCTTCAGTGCAACGATAAACATTTCCAATATTATCGTATGTCGGTGCCAAAACGATATGATTATGATGAACTGTACGACAATACATTTCCACAGCGATAGCTAAATGACGATTAGCCAATTTATATTCACCTTGATCTTTGTAAATTAAACCCAAATTGTTCTGTAAATCAGCAACATCCAAAACATTCGATGGTGGTAGTTGAATTAACGCAAGATGAAAATGCTGAGCACAATCTAAATCTTGTATACGCCAGAGAAATAAAACGATCAGTCACAAATGATGTGATGATATTTTGCTACAAATGTACCCTGATATCCGCTTCAGTGTTTCAAAAGAAAACTTGAATTCCCTAAAGAGCACGTTGAAGTTTTCCTCATGTTAGACCTTCTCACTATTATCCGTAAGATGCGTAGAATGCAAGCTTTCAGTGAAATTTATTTTTCGACATTTTATGTACCATTCGATAGAGAATTTCGAGTTGATCACGAATATATGTGCCTCGAATTTTTTGGAGACTTTTTTCCGGTCGAAAAATCAAAAACTGGAGTGGAGTGAACAGAGGCGCAGAATCTGCCCGCTTGTACCGACGTCCGTCGAGGAAAAAATGTTTTTTGCGGGGAAATTTTTTAAGGTTTTGGAAAAACGAAGAATTATGTTAGCCTTTAACGACTATCTCCTTTTTTATGTTCTTTCAAAAACTCACTATTCTCAATTGTATTAAAACGTTTGCGTCAGGAAAATATCAGAACTACTAGTCGTTTTAGGAACAATAAAATCGCATTGTTTTGTTTTTTCCTTTGTTCCATGCCGGGGAAATTTTATTATAATCTTTTACCGTCTGGAGAAATTTCCTAAGCTCACGAGTAGATTCTGCACCTCTGGAAGTAAAAAAGACCTAAAAAAGCCAAGGTTTAGAAAAAATGGCCGCGATTTTTTCGCTTTTTCGTCTCAGTGTTTGAAATAAACTTTTTCGGATTCAATTTTAGGTTTTAGCTAGTTTTTCTGTACGATCGTAATAGACAAAAACGTTAAAAGCAAATCGTTTCTATAATTTTTAACAGAACTGTATGCTATTTTGAACGTTATAAAGATCACCTCGTTATTGAATGTTCTCAAACCTAATTTAATAAGATTTGGTTTCTCATCTATTTGTTTTTTGAACTTATTTAATAATTTTGTCATCTTTTTTTCATCACTGTCATTGAAGAGTAATTTTACCATCCATACATCATTCAACTTTTCGACAGATTCAATACGAAATAAGCTACCAACAGTAAACATTACTTGATGTTCTTCTTGTGAAGAAGAACGATATTTATCAATATTAGCAAAAGTGTGATATTTTGGATTAGGAATAATATGAATTAAGACAGATTCAAGACCATCTTGAACGAGTTCATGCATTTTCTCTTCACTTGTTAAAAAAAATGATTTGCTAGAGATATAACCTCCAACATTGTCTTGTAAATTTTGAATTTCATCACTGGACATTCTTTGTTGTCGATATACAATAGCAATTTTTTGTTGATGTACTTGTATGTTACGTAATTGCTGATGTAAATCAGTGATAAAATATTGTAGTTTAAAAATTTGATCAAAATTCTCTGAACGAAATGCTTTTGTTAGAATACGTTGAAGAAAACAATTATCATGTATATACCATTGTAGAGCTTCATCCGATTGATATTTACGATTAAATTTTTTGATTAGTATTTGTTCCGTTTCATTATTCGTATAATAATGTTTATAATCATTTAGACCCTCTATTTTATCAATCATTCGATGTGATGTGTCCAGTAACATTTCATTAAATACTTGAAAGAATAGAAACATTAAATCTTTCTTCTCAAGATCAGATATTGAATGTTTTTCTGTAACACTTTTACTAAGTAATTTAAATGGCATGCCATCATCATTTTTATAATGTCTAACATCCTGTTTAAATGTATCGATCATCTGTAGTTTATCATTAAATATTTGTCGAATTTTTTTATATCTTTTTATCCATACTTCATATCTGTTTGACGCTAATGATGGTGATGATGATGAACGATATAAATAGATTATTTTTACTTGATCAAGATCCATAACCTGTGGTACTAGATGAAAACCAATCTCGGCAGTACAAATTAAGAATATTTTTTCAGATAAATAAGTAGTGATGTATGTGAAACATTCATCGATTTTATCAAATGTTTTAATATAATGAACAAATGGTTGTAAAAGAGCTTCTATTTCAGCATATTCTGGCGTTGAATACATTTTAGAGTCATGCCAAACAACAACAAAATCTTCTAAATTTTTCTCATCATATTTAACAATGATTGACGAATCTTTTTTAGATATTTCTTTTGATGGATGAGAACCCATGATTCCGATGATATGCACGTTTTTCGAAAAAGGAGTACATATATTTTTTCTTTCTTACTTTTATTAGATTAGGCTTACAAGTAGAGTAGATTAATTCAGTTGTACGTAAACATTGAAAAAAAAAATGCATTATTTTTAAACTCAAATCAAAACGATCATAGTGTGAATCGACGTACAGTAATACTTTTGTCTTAATCATCTGACATATGCTCAACACGTATCAAAAGTATCGAATAAGTGAAACAGTCAACTACGGTTTCTCTTGTTATTAACTACCAACAATTTCAGTATATGATTGTTAATGATTAATGAAGATCAATTGCGTAGCTTATGTGAGCATCTATCATCGATCAATTTTGTTAAATGAAATTCATTTATTACTCAAACACATCTGGAATCATACTTGTCATTGTAGTTGAAATTTCAAAACAAAAATGTACTCGATTATTTTCTAACAAATAGGCGACAAAAACCTATACGTTTCACACGACTTTGGCAGACAAAATTTCAAAAACTACAATTTTCAAAATTCTCATCGGACTTTTCATACTTATAACATGTATAGATAGAGCAATATTTGCTCTAGAAATCTACGAATGTCTAAGACCTCTGACTTTATCTGTTCGAATGTAAGAAAGATTTTCATGCAACGATTTAGAACTCTACAATAGAGATTTGCACGGGTACCGAAATTCACGTGGCCATGGATACGGATGGGCAGGCTTGAAAATGACACGGATGGGCAATTGCTCTCTTCGACGGGTACGGATTTTTCAAAAAAATGCTACCACAACTGTGGCACAACAAAGAGAAAAAGTTGTTTTTTTCTGCACGTACACGGATACGGACAAGCACCCTCGATAGAGCTATGGGTACGGACAAAAAAAATTTGGCGAAACAGATCTCTGCTCTGCAATCTTATTGATATATGAAAACATAGATTATCAATTATTGTGAATCTCGTGATAATGTTGATTTTCAAACAATGTTATAACGTAAATGAGTTTTGAGGAAAATTGACCTAATTTCAGCTACACAAAATGAAAAAATGTCTAACCAAGTCATTTAAAACATTTAGAGTATACTTTGAACACTATACGGTGAAAGATATGAGTATCTTGTGATATATCAGTCATTGTTGTTAACGAATATGATAGACCATGACGAGATCACTGTTGAATGTTGTACTTATTATGCTATGTCTATTTTTTTGCTTTATTCTGGACAAGAAATAAGTTTTGCTTCATATACATATTTTTTTATCGACTTGTGTATCGAAATGAAATGATTAACTTGATGAATTTATTAAGGTTGGTCGTCATTAGATATATCATGTTGAATCTCCGTTAAATTAGATATGAAATAACACTACATTGTAATATCAAGATTTTACATTGAACATGTCCATCGAACAAATAGAATATGTACTTGATCTTTAATCCTTCTTCTCTATTGTTATTTTTGTCTGTTTACATAGTCATAAAATAGTTTTTCTCTTTTTCTTTTTTTTTCTTCTCTATTTATGAAATCTTATGCATATATTTAATCATTTGATTCCTCTTCTCACTAACCATATATAGATGGTCAATTAATAATGGTCGATATATGTAGATTTGAGGATTTAACATAGATGAAATTCATTATACACATCTACCATAGCGATGATAAAAACTAATTAACGAAACATTGTCATTTTACTTTATAAGATCATTTAAAAAAGTAAAACAATTATTCTATTTCAGCATAATTAATATAATGGAAAATTGAGGACAAAAAAATATTTCTCTCATTCTATTTAAAAATTCATCTCACCTATTCAAATATTGATGAAAAATGAGAAGATTTTTAAAAACAAAATATAAATAATCATTCAAAATCAACTTGATTTCTTTTTATTCTTGAATGAAATTATTTATATAAGAAAATGAAATGATCTGGTAAGAGTCTATCTTATTTGATAACTATAATTTTGAATAGAATAATATTTTTAACAAATCATTCATTTACAAATGATGTTTTTTAATAAATTACTTATCAATATTTTTTAATGACTATACATTCATTCTGTTAACTATACAAAACTTAAAAAGAGTATATTGTATTATATATATAACTGTCTGTTGTTCTATGTCAATTTAGAGAAGACGAGTGAGAGTTCACCTTCAAAATTCTTATCTTGCAAGGTAATAGAGAATAGAATGAAACAGTCGGCTGTGTGGTACCATATTTCGGTCGTAGAGGAGAAAGAGAAATATTTTTACACTCACGATACGATTGTTTTTGAACAGTTTATGTATATGTCTGTATGCCTGCGTGTATATGTATAAATATGTATATGTGTGTGTGTTGACGTTAAAATATGTACTTGCCATTTGACAATTGATCTCTCTGCATCTATCATGTAGAGAGAAGAGAGAGTATATTTATTAAATGTTCAATCTGTCTCTTCTCCCCTTTCTCACTCTCTCTCTCTCCCTCTCTCATCTATTAATGACAAATTTTTCTGCTTCTTCTTGACACAAGATTTCTTTTCGTTACACAATTTACGAAAAAATGATAGAGTTATTCAATTAAAATAGAAAAATACGAAAACACGAGAGTAACAATTACCATGACCTGTTGTCTATGTGCAAAATACTTTTTATTATTTTTTAATCTAATTATTTGGGTAAGTAATAGAAATTTTAGATAGTCAACTCAGTGGGCGTTAATTTTCCACTATGAACAATCATAATGATGAATTTATATAAAACAAAATTTTCACGAAAATGAGAAGACACACGCTGCTTTATCGGGTGTTCCAAAATAGTTGCAATATTTTTTCTTCATCCTAGAAATATAATAAGATCTTAACCTTGTTATTGAATAATGTAGAATTTGATTCTCTACAAATTTCTATTTATCTGAATTTAAAATAATAAAACTAAAAGTTTTTATTAGCTACGTAATCTAGTTAGATCAATTGTAGCCACTTTCTGTACGTTCTTTCTACTTATTTATTTTTTCCATACAAATGAATGTTTAGTTTATAAAATAGAATTCAGCACTAGATAGCTTTTGACGCGCTCTGCTGACTGTGTGTATATATATATACGAACTTTTCTAATAGCAAAGTCATATTTTGAAAATGAGATTACTCTTGATTACTCCTTTTCAAAAAAAAGTATCCTAGAAATGTCACCTATGGCCAATTTTTTGTACTATTTTGTAGAAAACAGATTTGTCGTTCTACTTGAAGCCTTAAGAATGTGTGAAAAAACGATTCAGATGGAAGAGGAACTTGAATACTGTCAAAAGGCTGTTTTTGTTGTGGCAGTTCAGAAACGTCATCATTCTTAGACAAAAGTAGAGTGTGAGCAAATGTTTAAAAATAATTTTGAAAGAGCTCTTGATACACAATCGCAATTAAAACTACGCAGTCGTTTCAGTGCCTGTTTACACAACTTGGAAGGAAATTTGCAACATATAGTAAAAATGTGTAGAAAGTAGTTGCAATTGATCTAATTAGACTATGTTGCTAATAAAAACTTTTAGCTTTATTGTTTTAAAATTAGATAAATAGAAATTTGTGGAGAATTAAATTCTGCATTTTTCAATAACAACGTTCTTATTATCTAAGATCTTATTATATTTCTAGGCTGATAGACAAGTGAAAGAAAGAATGTTGCAAACATTGTGGAATAGGAATACTCGGTATATTCGTGTATCTAGAATAGAAGAAATATTATTAAAAGAACATTTCATTAAACTGTATGCATTTATTCTATGAGTCTTTGATTGTCTTGAGTGATACATGCAAGTAAGCAGGTCGTTTAGAGAATCTTATATTTTATATCCGAAGTGATGGAAAAAGTAATCCTTAAATCTAAGATTTCACTTTGAATAAACTTGTTTCGGTGAATTTATTAGCTATTGTATTGATATTTCTCTGTATTATCCTTAAATTACCTACAAATAATATACACCGACGAAATTTTAGAAACTGGTAGAAATCAAAGTTTTGTTTTTAATGTTTTAGTTATCCGGTGGTGCATTTCTTAGTGTTGGTATATTATTGCTGTATAAACGTGATTTACATGATATTTTTAAATTATTTTCCTACGAATCGAAAATTGTACCATCATTTCAGAATGTTGGTTATGTTCTAATTGGAGTGGGAGCACTTATATTTATTGTAGGTCTATTAGGATGTTGTGGATCAGTAAGAGAATCAAAATTACTGTTAGGACTGGTATGTATTAAAATGATGAATATTTCACAAAGAAATAGAATTCTAGTTAATCTATAACTGTTATAAAATAAAGAAAGAAGAGTTTACGGTTGATATATGCCTTGGTCATTTAACTCTTCTATCGGTAGCAGCTGGTTTTGAGATATAATTGCGCTCTACACTCTTTCGTTTAGAAAATATAAAAATACCAACATCTACCTGTCAAATGCCAGAGAAACTAAGTACATGTATTGTTATCATATTTTCTGATGGAAAGATCCTGTAGAGAGCAAGTACATCTCAAAATCTTCAGCACACTTTTCTTTTTAATTTGAGACCTGGACATCTCTTCATTCAGAAATTCTAAGACAAACAAAATACAAGAAAATGTAACAGAATTCACTTCGGCAGCAGTATAAGCGGATCAAGGCGTACTAATAATAAAGCAAGTTGAATGGTAAAAACGTGCTGTTAAATCTGTAACATAATGGTAGCATAAGAAGCCAAAAACTAAACTACATGAAATGTTCATTAACAAAATAGATCTAAAATTCTCTATACAGTCACTGGAAATAGTAATTTGTATTAACAGAGAAGGATGGAATGTTTGAAAAAAATTCGTTAAGAGAATGTTTAGTTACCCACTAGAATTTGACTAGTGAGTGAAAGTGAGATGCTAGACTAAACAAATGGCATTGAAAGCAACGTTTGTGCGGTGTAACTAACAGAGCTTCGTATGGACTCTGAGTTCTGAGAAGTCCAGTCCACTCGAGTCCGAGTCCATGGACTGTAAAAAGGTAGCCTTTTAGTGTTCTTTACCTATTTTTCACTGATTTTTTTCTCGACTCAAGTGAATCGAAAATTTTCTTTCGAGCCCATGGTGTTGAAAGTTTCAGTTCAGTCCAATCCATACAGAGCTCTAGTAACTAATCGTTTGAGAAACTGTGTACTGCTCTTCTGAACAAGAAATAAAATAGTTGATATCCAAAGACTTAAGATGTAATATATGCTTAGTAATAGACAAAAGCGGTTATTGACAAAAAATCTCATTACTCAGTAAAACTTATTCTATGAAGAGACTTGAGTAGTATTTATCGTACGTACACTCTTGGATATTGTGCAAGGAAATATGGACATATATGAATGTTGTGAAGTGATTTGTAAACACGCGTGAAACAATCTTCCACTTATGAGCACTCGTTGTTTTGTTCACCACACTTGTACCAGAAATTTTGCGTGATATTTTTCTCACGTGACAATGAGTAAAAGTTGGAAACCGTGTAGTGAACAAGCTTGAATTTTGTACGTTATGTGCTCGTAAATATTTTCATGAATAGTTGATCACTAGTAAAATTATAGAATGTTCGCGTGCATCCACGCATTTGCTATTGCAAGTACATGACGCCGTTAAGTTTTATCAAAAATTTCACCATGAGCATCTTTAAAAATCTGCATCAAAAACTCTAATTGAAAACAATTGTCATGAATCATCGATGAAGCAAAAAATGACATTTTTTCAAGTTAATCATGTAATTCTTTTCTCTCTTTTAGTACATATTTTTTATTATTTTGGTAATGACTGGTGAATTAGTTGTAGGAATGTATGCCGTATTATTAGGTGAAGAATGGGAAAATCGTCTACCATCTACTCTGAAACATCGAATATTAACTTATAATTATACACAACCAGCAATGTTTGAATACGATTTAGACGTTATACATAAACAAGTAAAATTTCTCTCTAATTATAAGAAAATTTTCAGCTCATTAGAATTTTTATTTTATTTTTTAGTTTATGTGTTGTGGTATAGAGGGACCCAAAGATTTTCATGCCAATATTGATTATCAACTTTACGGAAAACGTTTACCATCATCGTGTTGTTCCCGATTGCAAAATGGTGTGTGTGTGGAAACAGATTCGTACGGATATGGATGTTATCGAAATATAAATGAACAAATGACAACTTATTCACACGTCATTATTGCAGTGGGAATCGCTGTTGCCGTTCTCGAGGTATGATCTTTTCATGCCATTCGTGACTGTCATCTACAGTTTACTTAGAGTTTTTAGTTTTTTTCACAATATGCGCAACAAAAATAGGATTTTGTTCAGTTTTTCTAACTTGTTTACATGAAAAAAAAGACCTACAGTGTAGAGAAAAGTATCTTAAATGAATCTTCAATAATATTATAAACTTTCACTGTGATATTGTGAAGAAGGAGGTCACAACTACGAGCACTGAAATATTCTTTTTATTTTTTGTATTTTAGTTAACAGCATTGATATTAGCCGTTTGTGTGTGTCGAAATACAAGCGAAGACGATGATTATGATTAATAAGAACAATATTTAACATACAAATCACTCAATACTAGTCAACACATTTCATCATCAAGACCATAAGACGCACAAAATTACATGTCAGATAAGAAATTCGGCTGTTCTTACAACGTCAGTTGTTCTCATTCCTTTCTCTCATCTTCTGAGAAAAAATAATATTTCTTTTAACAATCATTTGAATTTTATTTTACATACACAGAATCAGTTCAATTATGACATTTATGTTTGTACATTTTTTTTTGTTTTGAAATTTAGTTAGTACCATTATCTAGTTAATACTATTTTTCTTCTTCTTCTGTCATTGGCATGAACTTTAAACAAAATGTAAATATATTGTATTTAGACATACTGGTTTTATTCAAGATCTAGCCATTCAGAATCTAGGAAAATGAATTTAATATTGACAGTTTAAGAATAGGTTAAAATAGTTTGTGTGTGCTACACAAATGCTTACGAATGTTAAATTGTTCGAGAAATTATAAAAAGAAATGAATTCTTGATCAATACAATTACTAAAACTATTTTTGTTACATGAGCAAGGAACGGGTGTAAAGTAGATTCAGATGTTTGTCTTGCTTATAGCTCTACGAAGGTCAACTACACGTAACGAAGAATTGTTAACGGAATAAAGTAAAGGATATACCATAGATAAATCAAAACATTTTCGTTTTATATAAGTTTTGGGAACCTTTTTGGAGTGGTAAGTGCTAAAAGAATGGACTTATCTAAAAAAGAATGAACTAAATAAATTTCTTTAGTCGAGTTTAAAATATCAAAATCACAAATTTCTTTCTTAAATTGAATTTCTACATAGAAGTAGTGATGCACATATGCTAAGTTATACACTAATGGATAACAGAAAAGCTTTCTACACTGTTAAATTGAAATATTTCTTCATTATAGAAAATCGACGTAGCTTACATGGTCAATCATTTTAAAATAGTTCTAATATATTGAAATAAATTCTAAAAGACAGGAAATCGATTCAATTTTCAATGACATCGATCTCTTTTTTATAAAAACACGATTTTATGAAAAATTCGAACCGATTTTTTACTTTTTATTTAAATTCATTCTGTTTTGGTTGGCTCACTTCTCTTATCATGGACGACAGCTTGTATAACGATGACTGAAAATCGGTGTCGATGTTTGAAATTGGCACGGCATTTACCTTCATTTTATAGAAAATCATTTCGCTAAAAATTGTTCCTTAATTATAATCGTTTTTAATTATCCTTTCTAATATTAGAAAAACAAGGAGCATATAGAGTCGAAACACATTTGATTGGAGTTATTTTGCAGACGAGTTGGAGAAATATTTTTTTTTGCCAGTTGTTTATAGTCATACTGTTTTGACTAATATAAAATATCTCTGCTTAGGTCCGCTCCGTTACTGCGATGTGAGGTATTTTGTGCAAAACTGGCTCTTGTTAATTGCCCCGAAAGAACGATCGTAACTTTATTATTTTGGCAGCGCTAACTCTATACTTAAATAATCGACAAATTTTGGCACTGAAATTGCTTCCATGGATGGAGAGTGTGCGAAATTTTGGACTTTTTCATGTCGGACTTCGGATTTTTTCACGATTTTTACCCAATGAAAACAAAGCTTGCACCAATTAACATGTCTCTATACTGTACTAGAGCTAATTATGGTTATTTTATTCATAACGGTGTGATTGTAAGTAGCTAACTGCTTTATTAAATTTATAAAAAAGATATGCAAAAAGTACCTCTCATTGTTTTCAATTTCCAAACCAAGAGATTTTCGCTAAAACTTTTCAAAAGCAGATCAATTGATAGAGAATTGAATTGTCTACAAAATGGTTTATTCACTTTTGAGTTCTAACTTTTTGAACAAAATTTCTGCAAATTGAACAAAATCACCAAAAAACGTTACCGAATTCCATACGCAATAGAGTTAGCTGGACAGGCCCAATAGTTAGTTACTTATGGTTATGTTACACAAAATACCTCACTTCTCAATAACGGAGCGGACCTAAGCAGAGATATTTTATATTAGCCATAACAGTATGACTATAAGTAACCTGTAAACAAATTTTCCTTCAACTCGTCTGCAAAATAACTCTAGGCAAATCTGTTTCGACTCGATATGAACTCGTTTTATAGTGAGTATTTATTTATAGAACTGTATGTTTTTCTGTAAGAAAATTTTGATATTTTACGAAAGATATTTTATAAGTAATTGGAAATATTAACATCCTTTGTCATGTTTTTTTTTCTAAGCTCGCGTCGATTAATCTTTTTTTTCCATGAAAAATCGAAAATCACTTTCCCAACAGCACTGCTAAATTATCGAATGACTCTGTTTTTCCAAAAATATACTGTCAACTTGATGATTAATCATGATTGAATTTTCTAAGTGTGCATACATCATTTTTCAAAATGAAAAATCGATCGGTAACTACTTTTGTTTTTTTGTTTTTTACTTTTTATTTCACTCTATTTCTGAAAGTCACAGAATATACTGGAACATCAAAGAGTAGTTTTGCAATCTCAATGAGAAGCAAAATTGCTTTTGTAAGATATCGTTGTTGGCTCTCAGCAAGTTGTAACTGAACTTCTTCATTCTGACACGCAATTTAGCGAGATAAATGGCGCTGTTGTTTTTGACCAATGGTAATTAACTAAGATGTATTTGTAGTGAATAAATACTGCTTCTCTCCACCTTTCTAGACACTTATAGTTACATGTTCCAGACAGTGAGATAAAGATATTTGTCTAACTCGGTAAATATTTGTCGTTAATTTACATGCGAAGATTGTACTGAAAGTAAAAAAACGGGAAAATTTGATTTCTTCCCTTTGACACAGAAAACGACATTGACTCTTTGTGTTTGAATGTAACAGAATGTATTTTGCTTTAAGATAAATCAGATCCGACCTCATAATGTGTGATTTTGACCGAATTATACAAATTTTCCTAAATGCCTCAAAGATGCAGTTAGTAAACGATGATTTTGAGCAAAATTACTAAAAGAAAAAAAATACTCCTCCAACCGATTGTGCCAATGAAGTCTCTTAAATATAGCCAGTAGATAGAGCTTTTCAAGAACTACAGAACAGCCATTTTCTCTTTTATTATATCGCAAAATATAAAGGACTGAAATTGAAAGACCTTTTTCTTTATGTTTGAAAGTAATCGATATTGACGATTTCCCGTATTTCTTCTATATTTTTTTATTCTTATGATACATAAGAATAAATGTATTGTATATAGAATTGAATGAGAAATCTTTTAAAAAAAAGATTGAGGCTTGGCGATCAGCCTTGATCGAGATATTGAAAAAATATCGAGAAGAACATTATTTCTGGCGCACACGTTACCTTCATAAGAAAAATGTGTTTCAAAATAACTTATTAACTTACAATAGAGACATGAATATACAATATGTGGATTTTCTCAGCTCTATTAAACATAACAACAATAAACAAACGAACAGGTGGTGATTTTCTTCAAATAAGAAATTTATATAAAATAAAACTCATTTGACATATCATTCATATACACATCAGAAACTCTGTTTCGGCCCTACGCTAAAAGTATGGGGATGAATAAAAACAATCAACTATACTCAAGAACAATTAACAGCTGCTCTAATGATTAGTGAGAGAAAGCCTAGCTTAGTACATCATGTTTTTGCCGGAGAGTGAAGTACAGTTGCTATATAGTTTGAATTCTCGTCTTGTGTCTTACTGGTAATATTGCTCATTATTTTGTTCTAGTTTTAGTCTGTTTATAAATTAAAGTAAAACAAAATATATCTGTTTCGTTCGGAGCAATTCTGCTAGGATATACATTACTCGACGACTAAGTATTATTGATTCCGAGTCATGAAGCGAGCAAATCGAATACGAGTCCTGAATCCATTTCGAATCGAATCATTTTTTCAAACTGTTTTGATTATCGTTATTTATATTTCTTTTTTCTCCTGTGCTGTATAACACATTTTTTAAGCACCCGATATCGGAGAAAGATAGTTTCTTTTTGATTTTTAGATAACATCTCTAGCTAGGACTTGACAGAGTCCGATTTTTAAATTATGCTTCCATTTTTTATAGAAATGAGGATTTCTAAGAAATCTTTCAAGAATTTTTCGGATTTTAAAGTTCTGTTAAGCACCAGAAATCAGTAAATGAGAAATTCAAAAAATCTGGCTCTGTCAACTCCTAGCCATAAGTGTTTACTGCAAAACAAAAGAAAACCTGAACTCTCTCTCATTTACCTGGAATGATAATTC